AAGTGGGGTTGTTAGTTTTATCTACAGTTACAAAAATCGCTATATACATTGTACTCCTCAAGCCGTACAACTTTCTAATACATAGTCATTAGCTCGGACCAAGAGGAAGTCAGATATTTTGGTCTGAATATGGTGAGCCTCTCTCTGAGCCTACGTCCCTGTATGGCAAGCCCTTTTAACATTTAAAAGCTAAGTTTGCCTGTCCGGAATTAACATTGTAGATATCAACAAAGTCTTTCTGTCTAGTCGTTACACTTTGGATAGTTTGTATTATCATTTAAGATATCTGTAACATAATTGTGACTAGTCGAAATGACAGAGTATGGCAAGCCGTTTTAACATTTAATCATGAAAGGGCCAAAGCCTTCGGCACCGCCACCCGGGTGCCTTTAGGTAACTAAAGGAACCGGGGTTGCGGTGCCTCCGGCTTGGGCCCGCCATCGCTGCTCGCAGCTATATTTGGATTTAAGATTCATTACTTTTAAAATAAATCTAAAGAAATACGATATATTAAATAATAAATCTAAAAAAGAATCTAAAATTTAAAAATCTAAAATCTCATTCAACCCATTATTGAAAGAGGGATTTTAAAGTAACCATAATAATGTAGTAAATTGAAATAATCACAGAAATGTATTGCATTTAATTTTAGAGAAAAAAGTTAAATAATTCACAGTTTGCATACTGTAGAATTACAGTAGATTGCTGGTGACTCTGCTGCCAGTATTTTACTGTAAATTTGGAAAAAGGCAGAATTATACTGTATTTCATTTATACGGCAATAAACTGTAAAACTAAGCATTCAATTTACACAAATTATTTGGAGGTATAGAGTGACAACTGATATTTATATGCATTTTATGTAAGTCGTCTGCAATACCGTTATAAATATCTGATTGAGTTACATTAGGCTACATTTCCTTAAAGGATAATTCCTGTATTTAACACCTTGAGTCTATTTTGTAGTTTGTTTTGAATGAAATAGAGTGGTGGACTTAGAAATTTTGACAATGGGTCCTGTCTCGACTTTTTGACTTTTTTAGAATCGCCTGTGACAGCGTTAGACTGGGTGTCTATGGGCATGCACAAACATGTCCATAAAACAACTCCTAACGTACATTTTTCAAAACTGTGCAACTCACCGAGTGGTTGGTGGTGTTCGTTGATGTTCTGAAACAAGTAGCGTAGCAAAATACCGTTTCTGTCGTGTTTTATTTTGTCATTTTTTAAAATCGCATTGATGTCTGCTGGAGGACTCAGTGCTCGTTGATATTACTGCGCTAGCTACCGGAAAAGGAAAGGGGTCTGTTTACATTTGGTTGTAGTCTTTTCGCTCGGTTCTCCGTCTCTCAGAAGGCTGGCGTGAGCAGAGCAGCTGTGCTCCCGGACTTTTTTTAAGGTGCGCTAGACACCGTGTTCCGTACAGCGTCCTGGTTGTCGCCATCAAGTGGTCGGGGTGTGCTAACGCTTCAGACTCAAATATCGAGCGGAAGTTTATACGCGGTTGTGAGGTATCTGAAAAAATAGTTCCACAAAAGCAAACAACACGGATTGAAAGCATACATTGCGCCGATATATTTGTTTTTAATCATCAACGAACACCACCAACCACTCGGTGAGTTGCACAGTTTTGAAAATGAACGTTAAGTGTTGTTTTAAGGACATCCCAGATAGCAAACTGACATTGAATCAACGTGGAAATATGACATAGAAACAACGTTGATCTGACATTGTTTTGCTCATCGAATTAACGTTGAACCAACGTCAGACGCGTCATTCTTTCAAAACTAACGGAAAATCAACTTGAAATCAACGCGTTGTTTCAACGTTATGAAAGCAAACCAATTTTCGATTTTCATTTAGCTTTGAAGAATGCCGCGTCTGACGTTGGTTCAACGTTAATTCGATGAGCAAAATCAACGTTGTTTCAATGTCATGAGAGACGTCGTTTCCACGTTGATTCAATGTCAGTTTGCTGTCTGGGATGTTTGTGCATGCCCATAGACAGCCAGTCTAAAGCTGTCACAGGCGATTCTAAAATAATCAAAAAGTCGAGACAGGACCCATTGTCAAAATTTCTAAGTCCACCACTCTATTTCATTCAAAACAAACTACGAAATAGACTCAAGGTGTTAAATACCGGAATTATCCTTTAATGTCAAAAAGTGAACTATGTTTAGTCACTCAGGTGGCACATTCCCATCTAAATGAGAAGTTAATCAGTTTTAATGACCAACATGCCTGTGAGACTAAACACAAAGGAATAGTTTGTTGTCATTCTAAACTTTTATGGCTTTATTTCTTTAGTGAAAACATTCTGAAGCTGAACTGTTTTGTCCATACAATGAATGACATTAAATTTAATATTTTAGTCATGTGACGTGAACGGCTTGACTTATTTGATGTTTAAGGTGTGTGTCACCATATAAGTCTGTTTATATGTGAAAACTGTACGTTGATAAATATTTTGATTTGATTTGAGATATTTTGACCAATTTGTCTTGTAATTTCAGAATATCCCAGACAGCAAACTGACATTGAATCAACGTGGAAACGACGTCTCTCATGACATTGAAACAACGTTGATTTTGCTCATCGAATTAATGTTGAACCAACGTCAGACGCGGCATTCTTCAAAGCTAAATGAAAATCGAAAATTGGTTTGCTTTCATAACGTTGAAACAATGCGTTGATTTCAAGTTGATTTTCCGTTAGTTTTGAAAGAATGACGCGTCTGACATTGGTTCAACGTTAATTCGATGAGCAAAACAATGTCAGATCAACGTTGTTTCGATGTCATATTTCCACGTTGATTCAATGTCAGTTTGCTATCTGGGATACAAGTAGTATCGATTCATTTCACACTAAATGTATGTCCTTTGTGAAGCTTTTACATTTTGAACCCTATTGATTTCAATCACTACACATTTTTTAAAAAATATATGAAGTTTTATTAACTAAGTTCGGGAGGAGCACGTTCAGATAATTGACACGAGTGGACAGCAATCAGCAATCAATGATAAGAGGGTACAAATAGACTCAGCAGTCTTACCTCGATCCATTGACAGTTTGCAGCATCCCTTCTCCACCCCTTCTCCACACTCCTAGTTCTCCACACTCCTCTTTTTAAAAATCACTTGCATACGGGGGGAGTACTCTGGGTTCGGGCAGAATTCCGAGCTCGGAGCCCTCCCTCCGGACAGCACGCCAAATACGCATTGAATCTTACTCACTCAAAAATTATATGTAAGTGTGAACTCGTGAAGAACGCCATTTGAGATTGGCTCTTTTTTTGGGCAAATATTTATATGCACAATTACAAAGTGGCAGCAATAATAAAACACAAAACAGAAAGACCTATTTGCCATGGATGTGTTGTGTGGACTGCGCCGCTGCCGCCGATGATCTGTCTTCCTCCATTTTGCCACCAGTTAATTAGTGTTCAAAGAAAATGAAGGGAAATCGCTGAACTTTGTGACACGTGACCCTACCAGAGTGATTACTGTAAAATTCAATTGCGTTTTACAGATGGAAAAAAATCATCCCCAAAAATATTGTCCCATGTCTTTACTTTGAAATGTATGGCTTCCTTTAAATTTTTGGCCATCATATATCTGCAGCAAGAAGTTTGAAAATATCTCTGTGTGGAAAAGTGCTCCATGAAAGTTCTTTAAAAATGTTTGCTTTGTGGTTTGAAAAACAAAAATAAGGATTCAAATGACACTGGGGTAAGTAAATAATGAGACAATTTTCTTTTTCAGGTCAGCAATTACTTTAAGAACATTTTAACTTTTAAAAGGCGTCATTTCTAGCAAACTAAAATAATGTATCCATGTGGGAATGTTTGCATTCAACCTGGAGGCAAAGCTGAACCTACAAAATAGCCTGACGTAAACATTTAATTCTCCACTGGCTAAATGAAATGACTTGACATCTGCTGTAAACAAAGCCTAGAGAAACTGGTGTTCCGCAGGAGGAATTTTAGCTTTGGTTTTTATATGGGGATCAGATGAATGGGGTTTTTGTATCTGAGATAAGCTATAATGACGAATCTCTGCTCTGGAGAAATACTGACAGAATGAGAGGAAAGTGACAAGCCGTGTGAGAGCATCATCACAAAGACTTCCCGTCCCCCTCCCTCCATAGCCCACCTGTTTGTGCTGGTTTATATCCTTCACTCTCCCTTTTTTTGTGTCTCGATCTCATTTTTTCCTCTTTCAAGCAAGCCCTGGCCTTGTTACAGACACTCTTCCTGTTCAGATCCCAATCTCTGTACCTGCCTTATTAGAAATCCAATTTCCTGCCTTTCTGACCCCCCATTCTCTATATATTTCCTCTTTCAACATGTTGAAAAAACTTTGGATGCGAGCAAAACATCCTGAAAAAAAGATCAGTTTTGTTTGCCTCTATTAAGATGCAGTCTTCCCTCCATCTCACTCTTGGGTAAATATGCACATATCTTAGATGCATTACCTCCATCATGTGCTCTAGACCTTGCAGGGTGTATTTTTATAATATTCACTGCTGCCTGGCTGTCATGAAGCATGGGATCTGTCATTTATTGAGTGTGCTGATGATATTTGGTGGGATCTGTTCTGCTTGTTGAGGTTTGACTATCTGATATTCGCCGGTTACATAACAGCCAGATTGCAGAAGGTTTCCTGGTTGAAAATGAATCATAGTTTATTAAAGCACCCTGGAGGACCTTGGATAGCATCCTCCACATAACCCAAAAATCTTATACCACGCTGAGTTCAAATACACTGTAAAATGTAGGCTACTTGGGAAACTATTTGGAAAGTAATTTCCCCTGATATATCTTATTATTTATTAATTTAGTCGAAAATAAAGTTAGGAAAATCTTGACGAGAGTCGTGTTCACGTTAAATTGTACTCAATGGATGCTGAGTAATTCTCTAAAACGGTGCCTGTCGTCGCCCCCCATTAGGCACCTGTCTAGCGCACCATGGCGCGCGGCTCCCACGCACAAGATGAGTCGCTCGCGCTCTCATCTCATCAGAGGCATTAAACTACAGCAGTCACACGCAGCTCCGAACACCGACATTCCGGCACTCTCACTATTCCGTCAGGGAATTCCGTGTAGGGAATTTTTGTCCAGGGAAATCGTACTGAATCGAAGACTTCCTATTTGGAATCACTAAAGGTAAGTCAAATACCAAAGGAGGTTGATCACCTGTTTTTCGAAGTGTGTTTGTGTATTATGATGTTGTAGGCACATTCTCATGTAGGCTAGCTATTATTGTCAGGCTTTATACTGAGTAAAATCATATTGACAAATATTTTAAAAGTCATCTGGAATTACTGTTTCGAGTCCCATTTTTGGTTGGTATAACATTACAAATTACCTATGGTCTCTCTTTAAAAATGTTTTGCTCTCATTTGTATTCATATATTTTACTATTTTGACTGTCATGAAATGTATGTCATTATTTTCTAACTTGAATAATGGGCTAAATGTGTGTATGGGATAAATGCTTACCCAAAAATAATATATTTTAAATATATTTATTAAAAATATGTATTGTATAACATATTATTGTTTTGAAATAATATATTATTATATAGATTGATGGATGGAAATTCCCATGTTCTGAAAAAAAAAGAAGCCTGCAATTGGTTAAAACTTAATTTGTATATTGGTTAATATACAAATAGGTATTTAAGGGAACCAACAAGCCAGGTGACACTTTATAATAAGTTTCATTAATAAATCAATAAAAAACTTTATATAATACTTAATGGCTCATTAATTAATCTATATTCACATAGCTAGAAACATGTGATAATGTGTTTGTTAATGTTTACTAATGAACCCATTAAACATTACATATTGATTACCAGATCATTATTTAATTTAAAAATTTATATGCTTTCAAATGTCATTACATTTTAAATTCGTAAATGACATTCTTAAAAATCAAGAAAATATGAATCAAGAATAAAATCAAAAGTATATATGATTTCCTACAAATGATTTAAAAATATGTTATACAATGATTAAAATCTATTTGTTAATGTATCCGAATACTAACAGATTTATTGAAACATGTAAGCTAAATGCTTGCTAAAAAACTAAAGAAAATTGTAATTTGGGTATAAAACATATTTTTATCACCACAACACTTTGTGTGTGTGTATATATATATATATATATATATATATATATATATATTCAAGGACTACCCCCCCCCTCTCTCTCTCTCTCTATATATATATATATATATATAGAGAGAGAGAGAGAGAGAGAGAGAGGATAGTCCTTGAATCATACATCAACAGGAGGAATGTTCACTTTATTGTTCATTTATCAAAACAATAATATAATAGTTTGAACCGTGTCCCTTTAATTGAACCCTGTACAATACTGCCTTAACCAAGCCTTAAACCTACACATACCACCAAACCTGTCCCTTACCTTATCCAAATCACGCCTCATAGCAGCAAGCATTTTGGAATAGAACATGAACACAATACTTGTTTTGACGCAAATACAAAACTAAAGTCGCCTACTATAAAGTGGGACCAGCCATTCTTATTGGTAAATTTTCTGTCTATATAAAACCTTTTTGCATTTATACATTTGTAAATGTAAAAAAGGGCATTTGGTAATGAATTGAAGTTTAATGATGTGTTAGAATTTCATTAAACCCTCAGTTCATATGATGATGCACTTCTTAAAAATTTACAAATGATTTTTACGGATGTCATACAGTGATTAGCTTATTTGTTAATGACATCTTAGAGTAACGATCTGGTAATCATATTGTTTAATTAGTTCATAAACAACAAGCGCACTATCTCATATTTCTTGCTATCTATGTGAATATATAGCAATTAACTAATGGTCCATTAACTATTAGATAATGTTTGTTAATGATTTAATGAAAGTTATAGAGTGTTACCAAAACGGGCAAAAATGTCAATTTATATATTAATATTGGGGAATGCTTGAATATCAGGCAGGGGAAAATACTCCCCGGAAAACAGTAAATGTAGTAGAGACAGACTGTATTCATCAACATGTTTTTAAAAAATAAAACCACGGGGCTGACACTGTTTTGGTCGTCCTCATGAAGTTATTCCAGAGCTGCGCTGTGATTCTGTGATGCAAAAAAAAAAAAAAAAAAAGACGCTCTGGGGACGAAAACATGCTACATTACAATTCAGAGCTTCTTAAAAAAAACTGCAATGACCTATATCTTCTCCTTAAGAATACAAATTATGATTACTAGTCTCATATATTTGAAAAAATAAAAATCTGATAATACAGTATGCTGTGTATCGTGATAGACTGAGTCATCCTTATCTCTGCCAGTCCTGCACCTTTTCCTTTGGCCTATAGCCAGATGCCTTATGTTGTCTCATATTTAATTCAGTACCAGTCAGGTACATTTTGTTGCTTATAACCATTATTATGAGCCTACATAGATGAGCAACAGTAAAAGATACTGATTGCAGTTTGACTGACTATTCAAAATAAAGATTTTCAAAAGATGACGTGGATGATAATAACACTAAAACTAATAGTAATGTAAATATACTGGTGACAATTTGTCTTACATTTTAAAATATTTTTTAAAAACATTTAAAATATAATAATTCATGGCCGGTTTCACAAGGCTTAAGCCTACTCCCAGACTAAACTGCATGTTTGAGCTTTCTTAACAGAAAGCAACTTGCACTGACATGTCTTAAAATATACATTCACTGGGTTGATATGGGGCATGACGGTAGGCATCATTCTGACCACCGATTTATTGATTTCTTATTTCCGACTGATAGAACACCAACTCTTCTCGCTTGCTTCCTCCAGTTATTAATCACCACCAGACACTGTATTGGGACGACATGATTGACATTCAGTTCTCATTAGTTATCTGAATGCACACCCTATGGAGATTAAATTACTGGATGAAGAATAGGGTTTTGATAGTGTTACTGTGTGCATGTAGTGGAGTATGAAATATCCCATGAGCCAAGCAAACAGTGAAATTAAAACAAAATGAAATTCCTCCTTAGAAGCAAAATAATTACCCAAATCTCCCATGGGGTGCTTTTGGTGTGCAAATAAATGAGTTTGAATAATGGGGATTTCTTTCTTTTTATTTAATTTGTTATGAGAGGATATCATCTGATTTTGCATTAGATATTTGGAGAATTTTAATGAAATATTTAATTGTTCCGGTGCATCTATTTTATTCATAATAAATTGAATAATAAAATTCAATTCATTTTCATCTGTTAAAAATTGTTGGCTTGGGCTGTTTTGAATGTGCTTTGAACCCATAATATGTAAATTAGCTTGGATGTTTAGGCTAAAAAACTGCTGTGTATCATAAACAACTGAATACCAAGTGAATAGTTAGCTCTGAATTTTTATCAATTGACCAGAGTTAATGTAACCAAAACTTCAACAGATCTTTTTAGCACCTTACACACTCCAGCTAATTGGACGTTGCTGAGAACTGTCAGCTACGCAAATTGAACCAATTACATCTGCTTTGTTTCTGAATGTGAAGAACAAGAGTGTGTTTGATGCACTTCCAACTAATTTCAGAAGAGTGTGGCGTTATTGATTGAGGCCATGCGGTTAGACAGCCCATAATGATCTTGTGTTTGTGCCCATGAAGCATCCCATCTGTTGACTTCCATCTGAATCAAGTTCAGATGACATAGGCGGCCCAGGTGGCCCTATGTATACAAACATCCACACCATGGGTCTCATTCATGAAACACGAGCAGAACGAATTTGTGTGTAAATCGTGTGTAAAGTGGTTCTTCTGGCGTAAATTTTCGGATTCGCAAGAAATCGCAAGAAATCTACACCTGCTCCCAGCCACGCGGAAATGGTGCACTTAACATCCGAACATTTTGCTCATTAATAAAGGCTGTATTTTAATTCACCAATGGGTACATATTTAAACAGCATTTTGAAAAAATATTCTATATAGTAATTATATACGTTTTTTCCTTTTACTTTTATTATGAGAGCCAGTAAGCAGATCTGGTGATCGTGGTGGTCCTTCTCCAGTTTGAATACGATTTTTCCGAAGTGAACTAATTCGTTTTTTTGCTGTCAAGCTTAATGTCGAACCATTTTCTTCTCACTTCTGGAACTTTTTGATTAACAGTAACATTAACAGTTCTCCATTAATTGCATCTGTAATATGCTGCCAAGCTTCCGCTAGCCACTATGTACGCTTGAAAATAAAATGTGGCGTTGAATGAACTTCTGATAATTAAACTTCAATTTCTGCATCCGAGAAATCTTTCTTTTTCATTCGCATTCATGTTATTATATGCCTATAGATGTCAGTCAGATATAATGGGCGGGATTTATGGTAATTGAGAATGACATGCACGCGCATCCCATTTACGACTGATTGGAATTCATTAACACACACACATTTCACTATCACATCTGACGTTTACGAAATATTTGTGAATCAGGAGAAGAATTTTCGGGGATGTCTCTTAACGCGCAAATCACTCACATATTTACTCGTATATTTACGAATGTTTCATGAATGAGACCCCATGACCCCATTTAGAGACAGTTCCACTGGACTGGGCTGAGATTAGTCATGTATTATCTGTTCTTTGTGTCCAATACATGATTTGGATTGGAGTAGTAGAGCCTTGAATAGTATTAAAGTGAATGTCACAACCAGGCTGCCTCCAGCCTGAAGTGCCGTGCACGATCCAGCACCCTGTAGGCTTTTTGGCACAGCCACTGCTGAAAGTTTGAGTAGGACGGATCTTCAGTCATTCTGCATCTGGCAATGTGTTCTGATATCTCTCTGTGACAGTCTGTTGTTGTTTGCTCTCTGAAGCAGAAATTGTGAAAAATTGCATAACCTCTTAAGAATTGTGCTTTAGAGTATAGGCTACATAAATCATATGCAACACGTCTTAAAGAGCCCCTATCATAGCATTTGAAATGTTCCTATTTTTTTAGGAGTTCCCAAAAACAGTTTAACGTGCATGCAAGGATAAAAAACACTTTATTTGTCTTATAATATGCATTTATTTTTAACTGATTTGCTCAACGACTCCCAAATGATTCGTTCGTCGATTCATTTTCCCAAACACCTCCTTTGAGTGACGTGAATCTGCGGCAATTGGTCAAATGTCCCAGTCAGT